TTTCTGACATAAAATACCTTCAAATGGAACGACACGATTCAAAACAACGTATTGACGATTGTGAAATCTGTATCAGTATAGCAGATATTTATTAGACGTAACAGATTAAACATACTTTCATGTCTGGTCTCATTTCTTCATTAGAATGGGAAATTATAATGTCACTGTACTATTGTGAAACCATTATAATACTTTATAATCATTTCCAGTCTTTTTGGGGTGGAGCAGATATTCTTCACACCAACACGCAGTGACAGGTAAGGGTTCAGTCCCTTTATTCCATCTGTATCCCACACAGTTCCCTCTCTAATGTACTGATATAACGCCATCCACACCTCTCTCCTCTCTTCCCTTTTGCCGAATTTCCATCTCATCTCCATGACCCCTCTCCCATTCCGCCCCCTCATCCCTGTCTTCTTATTCTCAGCCACCAATCCCCTCTCTTCACATGTTTGGATTACTCCCGATAAACTCGGTACAGGGATTGACGCCAACGTTATTTCTAATTCCCCGCATCGATAACAATTGTAAGGTTACGTCCCTTTTCAATCTGCGGGCCCAGTTCCTAATAGATGGCAAGCACAACGGTGGGATTGATATTGTAACCAGTGTGGGTGTGTTACTAATAAATAGTGCATTTATTCGGACTACAGATTGATGCTGGGATTAATGGGTGGTACACTCGTCCACCTCCTTCATCAACCTTTCATAACAGGCAGGCACGTGATTCAATTGCCATAGTCACGTGACCACTTGACGTATTATGGAGAGAGATTTGCATCAAAAGTCCAATCATGACACCAGCAGTTGGATTGTACATGTGTCCATTGGTGTACCTCATTGCTGTGAATTGGACGAATAAACCCATGCCATTTTGGACCCTCAATCTCTCAGAAAGTTTTGGTGTGCACGTGGCTGGCGTTTAGAGCGAGAGGATTGTCACAGTTGACGAGGAAGATCACGCAGTGGAACCAAGGAAAACGCAAAGCTACCAAAAATTTTATTTCATAATTTATTGAAGACCGTCTACTTGACAACAATCGCGGCCAGGAAAGATCGAGGCACAGGGGGCACAATAGCCTGGTTAGGAAACCTGGCCACTTACCCTTGAGATAATTTACAATTCCAAACACAAATAAAGGTTAAGAATTGGAATCCCGATAGATGCCCCTGGTCACAACCATACATAGGCAGCCATTTTAAAATATGGCGAATTGCCCGATTATGCTGGATGTATTTACCAGCGAAACGTCGTACTCAAACTGTAAATGTGGATTCACTCTTCAGCACACCGGTGAGCTAAAGTAGTGAATTATTTGTCTTTTGTCAACGTGACACTTTTTTTGCTGATTGGCCGTGTCGGGTGGTGGAGGGTTATGACACATTTATAAATAAACGCGATCTAACCCAAAAAACTTTCTTATGAATAATATTGGTCGCGAAAGCCTATGTGTTAAACTGATTTTAAAATGCAATGTACACGTTATGCTCTGTAACAAAGTGTCAATCCAGAGTTGCAACCCTATAAAAAACAAAATTGCGACCTAAATGTGGTTATTGTCGTAGGTTGAGTTTATTGTTACTGCCGTGATAATCTTTTTAAAGGGAGAGTTCCATTCGTTACACATGTGCCCTGACATCAGTCCGAGCCAGTCATAACACAGAGCAGCTCATTTTGTTAACGGAGCAATATTGTTGGCTTTATCGCAAAATTCTTGGCGATATAAGCATTGCTCCCTGGCGCAGGAATAATGAGGTTTGCCTTGTGACAAATCTTGGGTTAATTTTTGGACAGCACGTTTCCATTCAATATACTTGCCAGCGGTGCAGGATAGCGAGCGGCCGTGTCGGCATTAGCGCCATCTCCAAAATGAAATCCTATTTGAAGTGGTGCACATCATGGTAATTTGACAATGCTGAAATCTAGGGGAAACATACCAGGACAAACCGCGGTTTCAAGAATGGCCATGCAATGAGGAATGGAGCATGAGAAGCACAGAGGCACCACATCAAAGGCCTGCTGAAAGCCACAAAAATACGGGTGAAATACCCAGGTCTGTAATTACTTAAATTGAAGTGTAAAATAAAAACGTGAACTACGTACACTCAACCAGGAACATGGAAAAAAAACACGATAACATTTTAGTGCAATACAAAATGCTTTTATTTCGTGAATTAACAGCCACAATTTATTATTATTTTTTTAAACATCCGATCAAGCACTGTAAAAATTCTGCTCTAGCTCTCGGCAGAACGGGCGGTCATCTTGGTGTAGGTGAGCCCCTTGTAGACGCCACGCAGGGGAACGTCAAAGCGAGCGCCGTTCATGCAGGTGATGCGCAGCAGGGCCGTGTACGGGAGGTCGATGTTTGTACGCCCGATGTTGGCGACAACGGTGACGGTCTTGTGTGGAGGAACAGAGACGGGGAACGTGAGAGTTTCCATCCGCTCCTCCGAGTTCCCTACTTTGTACGTGCTCGATGAGCCCACGGTGAAGCTGAAGCCGGCCTCCCCCTCCATAATTAAGGGAATGCCTGCCGACACCGTCAGACTGAAGGTGGACTCGATCTTGTTAGTGGTGGACCACGATGACGTGACGGTTTTCTTCTTGGCGCTCACGAAGGTGCGGGACCGCACGACGTCAGGGCCGTTCGTGAACTCAACTTTTTCAATCTCCTCCATCTGCACGTTGTGTTGACAAGTGGCTTATCTATATATAAGGGAAATTTGTGAATGTGTCTGTTCAAAATGTTTAGCATGCTTCCCGACATGCAACAAACTTGAAATTTGGCATGTGGGTAGCTTCCAGACTGTACAAAATGCAAAAAGTATAAAAATATAATTTTGTATTTTGGGGGGCGGGGGGGGGGCGCAATAATGGATATATTTTGCACGGCAAGTGAGCAGTGAGGTCACATCTCTGTCACGTCACCGGCATGCGGCAGCATTACGCAGAGAGCCTGCTGACGTCACGCATACCCCCCCCACCCTCCGTGTAGGCTGTGTTATCTAATCCAAGACAAGAAACCAAGTCCCAGGCGAAGCCGGGTAGTAAAGCTAGTTAAGTATAAACCGCTCAACTGTACGTGCCTCTGGATACTTCATTTGGGAACTAATTTGTTCAATTGTGAAATGCTTTGATGTTGTCTGACGGCCGAGTCTCCTTTGAAAAAGAGCTTCTTATATCAATGGGCTCTACCCGGGAAGTAAACTTCTTGATATAATGTGTTTTCTGCCACCAAACACCTTGTAACGGAATATATTGAGCATGTGTGAATAGTGTGTCCTTATTGCGGGTATCTAATAGACTGCATAATTATTCTTGAAATGACATATTGATGCAAACAGTTCCTAAATGTGATGCCTCTTTGTTGCTGACAACATGACACTACCAGAAATACTTCACACATTTGCGTCTGAGTGTCTCTGCATAATGTTAGTCTGCGGGTTACTGGTGGAGTCGTTTAGTGTCAATGATGTGGTATGCCTGAATACCCCCAAAACTGACCCTCTTTACCATTTGAGTGGACAAATCCCCCCCCCCCCATATATTCTGAAAGCTCCGAATCTATATTCATGAAAATGTCTGGTAGACTGGTAACAGATGGAACCAATTGTTTGGCAATACTGCCTTAGTAGTGCACATGCACAAACAACAGATGGCTAATTTGGGGTGAAAATTGAAAAGATTTTTATGTTTTACATGAACTGTAAGTTACTCAATTCAAGCTACTAATAGCTACCTCTTAAAATGACAGAATCCGCTGGGGACTTTTCATCTAATGTAAATTATTACTTAGCTCAAGGCTGTAAAGTTCGGTCGCGGTAGGCAGCATGCGTTCAGCGAGGTCCAGACTTGGGCCCTTGGTCACGTGACCATTCAGAGGCGGGGCCAACCATTAAAAAAAAAATCGGTCGCCATGTTTAAGCTCTGTGATTACGCGTTAATCCAGCCGAGTACCAACCCTGGAAACAACAAATGTGAGTAATCTTCTTTGGTTCTTTCGGTAAAGTCACGTAGAATGAGAATAAAATAATAAATTGATAAAATAAAATAACACAATAATATGGTGAGAATATTATTGTGTTATTTTATTTTATCAATTTATTATTTTATTCTCATTCTACGTGACTTTACCGAAAGAACCAAAGAAGATGAATCATTGCAGTCACGAAAGCTTTAAATCGAAATGTGAGTAAATCATGTTGCGACTTCCCCGTAGGCGACCGACAAAAAAAGTCCAAACGCCAAGTGCATTAAAGCGAACATTTTTATTACATTTTGAAAAGCTTTGCAGATTGTATCCTTTATTTGAATCGGGAGCTGAACCGCAGGCATATTTTAAAAAAAACGCGATAAGTGCTTTGGCTCCTTCTGCGCAAAAGGCCGACGCTGTGTAGCATATCAAGTCGTGGAAAAAAATACACGACAAAATGCTCCATCCAACAAATCTATAGACTAAATTTAACAATGATTCAATGTAAATTGGAAAATAGCTAATCGTAGAAGGCGAATTGGAATTATTTTACATTTAGGGAAACTTCTACAATAAATGTGGTTGTCTCGTGGTGTGCATGGGTTTTCTTGCTGACCTGGACATCCTCCCTCCTGCTCTCCCCTACTCCCTCCCTCTCCCTCCTCCCTCCTCCAGTCGAAATAAAGATTTTTTTTAACTGGGTAGTGTTAGTCTATGGGCAGTGTTGAATCTATATGGGTAGTGTTAGTATATGGGCGGTGTTGAATCTCTATGGATATTGGTAGTCTATGGGCGGTGTTGAATCTATATGGGTAGTGTTAGTCTATGGGCAGTGTTGAATTTATATGGGTAGTGTTAGTCTATGGGCAGTGTTTAATCTATATGGGTAGTGTTAGTGTATGGGCCATGTTGAATCTATATGGGTAGTGTTAGTCTATGGGCAGTGTTGAATCTATATGGGTAGCGTTAGTCTATGGGCGGTGTTGAATCAATATGGCTAGTGTTAGTCTATGGGCGGTGTTGAATTTATATGGGTATTGGTAGTCTATGGGCGGTGTTGAATCTATATGGGTAGTGTTAGTCTATGGGCAGTGATTGCCGAGTCTGTACATGCGACCGAACGTCCGGCGGTATAACTGGTACGGGAGCAATTGTTCGACCTGTAGCTGCGGAGTGCTGGGCCCACCTGCGTGTGGACATGTCCCGACTCTCAGCAACAGCTCCCTCTGCTCTGAGGTTAACGGAGCAGCCGGGTAGCCGGCTCAAGGAAACTGCCAAGAATTCCCCCACGAGTGACACTACCAAGTACGTCTTCATGCCACATTGCCAGTTGCGGGGTTGACAAGGAGCGCACAGGCTGTTTTTTCACCAGCCAGCTGTGACGAGTGTGCTACGCTAGCCCTGGAAGTGAACTGGCGCTAAAAAACAAAAAATACAGACCACTGATGAAGAGGCGCACATATTGCCTGAGGTTACAAATAGCGGGCAACAACGTTGAATTGGTAAAATCGTTCACATATCTCGGCTGCACTATTCAACGAGATAGAGCTTAAAAGGCGAATCTCAATTGCACGCAAGTGCATGAAAGAGCTCGACAGACACATCTGGCGCTCCAGTGTCACGACAGCAACAAATATTCGACTTACACAATGCATCCCGTACAACTGTAAAGGCTCAGAGATGTGGTCGATGACGGCGTCCCTGAGCAGGGAAGCTGGATGCCTTCGACCGGTGGGTGCCTGTGATGGACACTCCGCGTCCACTTCAGTGAACGCATCGCCAATGCTGGGGTCCGCCTTCGCACGGGATACCCGGCAGTGCATGAAACGGTCAGAGCCAGAAGACTTCAGGCTCTTCAGACACGCTGCCAGGGCGGACGCATCGATGTAGCATGCCAGGGCCCTGAGCGAGATCACCGACGGACCACTGCTGGACTTGAGGCGCACCCTGGGCAGACCACGGCTGACGTGGACACGCACGATCGAGGCCGATCTTTGACACCACGGCCTTGGCTCGCGTTCAGCGTGGCGGCTGGCACGGGATAGGATTGTGCTGTGGCAGCTCGTGGGGACTGCTATGCCCCGAGAGGCATGCACAGGATGATGATGGGGCTTGGGGTGAGGGGGATGGGGAAAGGTTGTCTACGTCTAACGCAAGTCGATGCTCTTCACCGATCCGTCGTGCAGGTGGACCGCGAAACACAGGGGCCTGGCGAAATTGGCGTGGAAAGAGTGGAACAGCCGCCTGGGCTCGGCGATGTAGAACGCCACGATGCCCTCGTCGCAGTTCACGTAGACGCCCACCCTCCGCGGAGCCTCGTGCACCACGTGGCACACCGCCATCCTCCCGTGCATCGCGATGCACCTGGTGCCATCCTTGCGCAGCGCCCACGAGTCGCGGTTGCATCCCAACGCGCAGCCGAGCTCCGCCCCCTTCCGCGAGATTGTCTCGTAGGCCACGCCCACCCGGCAGTCCCAGGAATTGCTCACGTCCACCTCCCAGTAGTGCTGACCCGTCGAGAAATGGTTGGAGCACAGCGCCTGGTGCCAGTGGTCGAACCTGCCTTCGTGCGCTTGGCACGGTTGAGCCTCTTCCGTCTTCGTCGCCATCTTCAGGTCTTCGGAGATCAAGAGGTTTGGATGGGCGGTGCTTTTGTTGAACGTTATTGAGCAGCCATCTGTCAGCATAGACACATTAATTGTTTGTTAGATCGTTTTCTCTTCACGCGTGTGTTATATATATATGTGTGTGTGTAAGGCAGACTTCGCTTAGCGTGAAACTGTGTGAAGCTGATTCGTTATAGCACTATTTTGTCATTGATATAATGTTTTACGAACCAAAAAAATAATAATCGAATCATCATAAAAAGCTAATACGAGTGACAACACGCAGTGGCAGCACTGGTCGAGCAAACGTTCCCGCCCCCCATCATTCGCTTGGCCAATGAGAGAGCGGCGCACTCTTGTCAACCAAACAGATCTTTCCTCACTCCCCCACCACAATTCGTTGATGAAAATTTGTGGTCACGATAAAAAAATATTAAAATCTATTTTTCTTTCCTTTTCAACAATAGCCAGGGCAACGACTCACGAGACCAGGGTGGAAGCGTCTCAGGCTGAGCTCTACCTCAACCAAACCTCACCACCGACACTTGGACCGAGGGCATCGCCAAGACCCCGACTGTGGGCAGCTGAGCAGATCACCCAACCTCGTCTACCCTCCGCTAAGCCTTCTGGGAGCAGGAATGGGGTAGCATGCGCCCATGGGTGGGTGCAGTACATAATACTTACTGGTGTTACAATTAATTTATAATTTAGCTTCTGAAAAAACTTTCACCATCCGTATTGTAATTAGCACCATTACCGATACCGACCAAACGAAGCGATTGTATAATGCTCACAACAAAAGTGATAACACCATCGAGAACCTATCCCATGTGTACACAATTGTACAGTGAGCCCCTGTTAGCGCCGATTCCATTAGCGCTCGGTCATTCACTCACTCACTCACAACTCTCCAGAATTATGACGAATGAATTGAATGAATGGAGGTGTTAATGATTGATAGCCGTATCATGAAACTATGAAGAGGGAAGAGAAACTGTGCTGGTCATAAGGGGGAGATTAATGGGAGGGTGGGGGTGTCGGGTGAGCGAGGGGTGACAATCAGTGTGAGTTTTGAGTGCGGAGCGAAAAAGTCATTGAGTGAAGGTGACCGCTTAATGTGGCCGGGGCGACGGGGGGTGGGGGGAGTTTGTTCCATTGAAGGGGGGCGGCCAAGAAGAGAAAGAGAGAGAGCGAAAGCGTGGATTGAGCGTTAGGAGAAAAAGAGAGGCAGCAAAGATTGAGGACGTAGAGAGGGAGCGAGAATGCGATGCGCGGAGAGCTGGCAAGATACAGGCGGGGCAAGACCACGGAGGGATGTGTTGACCCCCACCACCAACGCGGGTCAACTCAGCGCAGCTTTACGCACATCGAGAGGCGAGCGCTTGCATGGCCGACGCCTGCTCCCTCATGATGCCGGAGAACATGTCCAGGAGCTTCTTCGCACTCGCCTCCCCTCTCTCCACGACGGTCTGCAGGATGTAGTCAGTGCGCCGCCACACGTTGGACTGCGCGGCCGCCACAGCGCGGGCTTCTTCCGCGATGATGCCCTGGCTGCACAGCCTCTCGGTGAACAGCTGAGGACGCAGGTCGACGCACTCCCGGAGCTGTGGCAGGTTTTCCGCCATCGCTTTCCACACCGCCGCCTCGCTCGCGTCGATCTTGCCCTCGATGATTTCCTTAACGTTCTTCAGTGTTTCGAGTTCGTACCGCAGCATTAGCACAAGGGGGGGGGGGGGGGGTCAGACAGCATTCAATAATAGTTCAAGGTAGTGTATAGGCATCACACATTGATTCTGAAAATAACCGCAACTTCTTACTCTGCTGCAGTAATCGGAAAAAAATCTCGCACAAACCACGACACGCAACAACCAGAATACAAAGACAAGAGATCCCCCGTACAGCCAGAACGGACTCTTGCGGTAAGTGCTGTTAGCGAGTAGCACTTATGAAGGCCACACTGTGGCAACACAAGGCGATTTGAGAGGCCAGCACCACGCCCGGCCGCCTTTGTTTCATGGGTTGCGATGCTTATTACACACTGCACCAGGTACTCATTTGAGGCCACGTCAACCTCGAGGGGAGGCCCGGGACCGATTCAGATGATCGCTAAACACTGCTGTTGGCATGCACCTGCAGTGCTAATACCCACGTGATCCGGGGGTACAAATACCCACGGGATCCCAAGTTACAGTTACGATGACGTCACGAAGGAAAGGAAAGAGAAGGCCGGGGGCGTGAGAGAGGGAGGGAGGGAACGCCAAGGGAGGGGAGCGGTGACGTCACTCTATGAGGTGGGGCGATCGGGGCGGGTTCCTGGTGGGATCCGGTGCGGAGTGGTCCGCGCGCAGCGTGAGCTCGTGCGATGAATAAAGAAGCGTGTGTCATCCTTATCTTCGTCTGGTGAGCTCATTAAACATGTATCAATATGCCGCATTGGCGATATGATAACTACCTCGCCGAATCTGACGCCTTATGTATATTTCGGAATCTGCATCTCTCTATCCCCCTGCGGTCGTGTGGCGTTTTTTCTCCGGGTCCTGTGTTTTTTTTTTCTCCCCTCCACATTTAGAAGCAACGTGACCACACGTTTAGAGAGTTTGACGACTGCTATGAATTTCCACTTCGTTCGAGCTGCTATCATTTGTGATCGCCAAGGTCGCTTCTGCAAAAAAATTGCTATTACATAACAGCTCAGTAGTGGGGCCCTACACCAGGTGAAATACAACATAGATTTAGTTTAGTTTAATGCCAAGAAAATATAGAAAGTTGATCACGTAGGATTTCGCAACCAATGTTATCCATAATTAAGGTTTTTGGGTTATATATGAATGTGCCGTTAAACCGGCCACCACCCAACACAGCCACTTAGTAAGGTTTATGACGTACACAGAACATGCAAATTCGTTACTAGTTCAGCACACCGGTGTGTTGGAGAGTAAACCCACTACAATATTGACAATTCGAGTAGCATGACGTTTCACCAGTAATTACAACAACAACCAGCATCATTAGGCGACGGCCAGACTTGCGGAGAAATCCATCTCTTGTTTTGGTCTTAAATAGAGCAGGGCATGATGTTGTCACTTGTGAGCCAATCAGGTGCGAAGGCCAGAGAGGGGGGATGGTGAATTATGTAAATGTAGTAGTGGATTTACTCTCCAACACACAACCGCTTCGGGCTGAACTAGTATACAACACTATACACTACACTATGCACTACATTAATATACACTACACTATTATACACTACAACATACTCTACACTATAATTGTAAATGTAGTAGTGGATTTACTCTCCAACACACAACCGCTTCGGGCTGAACTAGTATACAACACTATACACTACACTATGCACTACATTAATATACACTAAACTATTATACACTACAACATACTCTACACTATAATTGTAAATGTAGTAGTGGATTTACTCTCCAACACACAACCGCTTCGGGCTGAACTAGTATACAACACTATACACTACACTATGCACTACATTAATATACACTACACTATTATACACTACAACATACTCTACACTATAATTGTAAATGTAGTAGTGGATTTACTCTCCAACACACAACCGCTTCGGGCTGAACTAGTATACAACACTATACACTACACTATGCACTACATTAATATACACTAAACTATTATACACTACAACATACTCTACACTATAATTGTAAATGTAGTAGTGGATTTACTCTCCAACACACAACCGCTTCGGGCTGAACTAGTATACAACACTATACACTACACTATGCACTACATTAATATACACTACACTATTATACACTACAACATACTCTACACTATAATTGTAAATGTAGTAGTGGGTTTACTCTCCCAACACACAACCGGTTCGTGCTGAACTAATATACAACACTATACACTACACTATACACTACACTACTATACACTACACTACTATACACTACACTATATTCTACACTATAATTGTAAATGTTAGAGTTGGTTTACTCTCCCAACACACAACCACGTTGTGTTTACGTGAGAAACCCTCCTTACCGATTGTCCATGCCGGGTGGTGGTGGCGGGTTTCACGACGCACACAACACATTTATATTTACGCTACCTAACCCAACAAAAAAACTTATATTGTGGATAAACATAGACGCCTGTCTGAAGTTTGTGTTTCTTAACGGTGGCTAACGTGCATCCTATTTGTAGTGTTCTTAACGGAGGCGCACACTTTGACTTAGAGGCAACACGTTTATTACACAGCCCCAAATTTGCTAACTACATAAACTTATACACACTAACTCGACCCCAACAGGGTAACACCACCTAGGCTCAACGGGGTAACTACATAACCGAGTCAGTCAGTATCATGCTGGCTGACCCACGTTGCCGATCGAAGACCGAAGATCGAAGAGACGTAGCGCCGAGGGCTGAGTCCAGAGAACACCCAAGAACGCTCTCGGCACTGCCCCTTTGTGCCCCTGAGCGTGGCATCTCTCCGCCCTGGGCCACGCCCCCTTGTGCATCTTTGTCAGAAGGATCTGAAGCCAGTATCACGCGTCCCTCAGGCCCCCCTTTTGGGCCCCCTTTCTACCCCGTGCCGGTCACGTGCCCTCTCGGGTTCACCGTTACGGCCACATCCTCACGAGCCCCTCTCCCTGCCCGTCAACGGGGCCATACCCTCTAGGGACCGCTTCCCTGCCGTACCTACTCCTATGCCAGAGGCACAAGACGCGGAGTTACCGGCTGGTGACCATAGATGGCGCACACGTCATGGAGTCTCTATTAAAACGTCTCCATATATTTACCCCAGAGGGAAATTCCTTCTTCAGCGGTGGATCTTTTGGCAAAATCTCTTCACATTGCACTTCCATATCCATCGGTCTCCCTGTTTGGTGGGGGGGGGGAGGGTAAAAAATAAATAATAAATACACCTTAATTTGTAATTTATTTCTTCCAAAAGGCTATCATCTATTGTGGTGTTTGGACATCTTAACACATCGCCTGATTTGTTACTGCAACAAAGGAAAAAAAAAACCTGTTTTTATTATTCCATTATTTATTTTTGAGTGTTTTAAATGTTATTTACCGTGTGAAATTGGTTTAAACAATGACACAATAAAACCAAAAAATAAACACCCTATTTGAACAAAAGTTAACGCGCTTGCTGTACCGTGCTTACTCGAAGACTCACGGGGGGGGGTGATGTGTACACACGTGTGCAGTACTTTCATTGTTGTGTATGATGTAACGTATGTAATATGTGTCGCTGTGGCGAATCTCGGTACAGGACTTGCATCTTTGTCCACAAATGATTCAGCCGGTGTTTGCGGACCAGAGAGATCATCAAAGCCACCCAGAGTATTCTCGTGCGCTTCATTGAACTTGCAGACTATGTCGATTTACATAATTGCAGGTTCTGGCGTTTAAACGTAATGATATTGAATCTCCATGGATTAAATTATTTTCTATAATTTAGAATTTGCGTTTTTTTATTTCATAAAAAGCTATTGGCAAAACAAATCAGTTTGTTGTTTATGGCCCACCGTGTATATCAATACCTAAGTGTTTTAAACATATACCATTATTCATAGGCAAAGAGTTATGTGTGTACGTTCAACTTATTTTGTACTATCGTACGTAGCCAACCATGGCTAATTGGAGGTGCAGTGTTGAGTCTATGGGCAGTGTTGATTCTATTTGGGTAGTGTTAGTCTATGGGCAGTGTTGAATCTATATGGGCAGTGTTAGTCCATGGGCAGTATGTACGTATGTTGAACCTTTTTCGCACCGTACATAGCCAACCGTGGCGAATCCGAGGTGTAGTGTTGAGCCTATGGGCAGTGTTGAATATATATGGGTTGTGTTAGTCTATGGGCAATGTTGAATCTATATGGGCAGTGTTAGTCTATGGGCAGTATGTAGGTATGTTGAACCTTTTTCACACCATACGTAGCCAACCGTGGCTAATCGGAGGTGCAGTTTTGAGCCTATGGGCAGTGTTGAATGTATATGGGTTGTGTTAGTCTATGGGCAATGTTGAATCTATATGGGCAGTGTTAGTCTATGGGCAATGTTGAATCTATATGGGCAGTGTTAGTCTATGGGCAGTATGTTTGTATGTGTATGTTGAACTTCTTTCGCACCACCGTACGTAGCCAACTATGTGCCAATCAGAGGTGCAGTGTCGGGTCGTGAAACGGTCACGGATGACGAAATGGCAAATCGGTATTGGGCCCCACTTACGTCGTTTGTGTTGCTGGTCTCGCCGCTTGCGATAGCAACAGAAGGCGGCAAGCGACGCCAGGACGATAACCACGGTCCCGCCACCGACGGCCCAGAAAATCCAACCGTTCACTCCTAAAAAAGACATTCAAACAGAACACAGAAGTGATAACGTCCCTCTCTCTCCCACTCCTTCCGTCCCGTGTAGCCTCTAACTGACAGTGAGGGGCAAGTGCTGTTAGTAGAGAGTAACAGCACCCTGTAAAGGTCGGTACTGTGGCACACACAGAGAGGGTGGGCGGCCAACACCACACCCGGCCGCTTTTGTCTATATTATACACTACAATACACTACACTACTATACACTACTATACACTACACTACTATACACTACACTATACACTACACTACTATACACTACACTACTATACACTACACTATACACTACACTACTGTATACTATACTACTATACACTACACTATACACTACTATACACCACACTATACACTACACTAGTATACTCTACACTACTATACACTACACTATACACTACACTACTATACACTGCACTACTATACACTACACTATACACTACACTACTATACACTACACTATACACTACAATGTATACTACACTACTATACACTACATCACTACACTACACAATACACTACAATGTATACTACACTACTATGCACTACACTACTATACACTATACTAATATACACTGCACTATACACTACACTGTATACTATACACTACACTACTATACACTAAACTACAATACACTACTACACACAACAATATACACTACACTACACTACTATACACTACACTACTATACACTACACTACTAAACACGACACTGCTATTCACTACACTACTATACACTCCACTATACACTACACTACTATACACTATACACTACACTATACACTACACTACTATACACTACACTACTATACACTACACTACTATACACTAAACTACTATACACTCCACTTTACACTACTATACACTACTGTACACTACACTACTATGCACTACACTACTATACACTCCACTTTACACTACTATACACTACACTACTATACACTACACTACTATACACTACACTACTATACACTCCACTTTACACTACTATACACTACTGTACACTACACTACTATACACTCCACTATACACTACACTACTATACACTACACTACTATACACTACACTACTATACACTACACTACTATACACTCCACTATACACTACACTACTATACACTACACTACTATACACTACACTACTATACACTACACTACTATACACTCCACTATACACTACTATACACTACACTATACACTACACTACTATACACTACACTACTATACACTACACTACTATACACTACTATACACTCCACTATACACTACACTACTATACACTACACTACTATACACTACACTGCTATATACTCCACTATACACAACACTACTATACACTACACTATACACTACACTACTATACACTATACTACTACACTACACTACTATACACTACACTACTATACACTACACTACTATACACTACACTACTATACACTCCACTATACACTACACTACTATACACTATACACTACACTATACTATACACTACTATACACTACACTACTATACACTACACTACTATACACTAAACTACTATACACTCCACTTTACACTACTATACACTACTGTACACTACTATTCACTACACTACTATACACTCCACTTTACACTACTATACACTACACTACTATACACTACACTACTATACACTCCACTTTACACTACTATACACTACTGTACACTACACTACTATACACTCCACTATACACTACACTACTATACACTACACTACTATACACTCCACTATACACTACTATACACTACACTACTATACACTACACTACTATACACTCCACTATACACTACACTACTATACACTACACTATACACTACACTACTATACACTACACTACTATACACTACACTGCTATATACTCCACTATACACTACACTACTATACACTACACTATACACTACACTACTATACATTGCTCTACTATACACTACACTACTATACACTACACTATACACTACACTACTATACACTACTGTACACTACACTACTATACACTCCACTGTACACTACATTACTATACACTACTATACACTCCACTATACGCTACACTACTATACACTACTGTACACTACACTACTATACACTCCACTATACACTGCACTACTATACACTCCACTTTCACTACATTACTATACACTACTATACACTCCACTATACACTACACTACCACACACTACACTATTAAACACTATTGGTAACTCATTTTAGGCTGAGTCGACCAAGGAGATGGCCCAGGACTGGTTTAAACAATCGCTATCGCTGGTGTTGGCCATGAGTGGGAATCAATCTCAGGTCTCTGCTGGGTCCGTAGCGTAGCGCTGACCGCTACGCTACCGCATGACGTCGATTCTAAAGGCGGAGACAAAAAACTAGTAGGACCCCCCCCCCCCCCGACCAGCAATCGTTACTCGATCACGGGGGCGGAGGGATAGGGGGAGAGACACACAAATGTACAGCAGGAGTCGTCAATCAGTGTCGTGGCCGAACCCGCGACCGTTCGCCCGCATGCCAGGTGAGAAAGATATCACCGGAGAACCGTCGCCCACAATCTGCTGTCCTTCTCCTGCAATGCGGCGGTAGTGGTAGTGGTCGCGTTCCCCCGAAGAACGCCGCGTTATGGTGAAAGATTTCACGGTGAGGTACAACGGTGAATGACGAACCACTTGAAGCGCAGTCCGCCGTTCATCGAGTGTGATGATGGCGTAACGCAGAGCCGGAGTGAAGTTTGAGGCTCGCGGTGGGTGGCGTCTACTAGAAGCATCCAGCAGCATCCCAGCGGCTCGTGTGATGATGGCAACGAGGATGATGATGATGATGACGACGCTGTTTATGACGACGATGATCATGATGATGACGACGATGATGACGATGATGATGATCATACTTGATTTGAAGCTTTTGTGACCGCAGGAATTACTCTTTCGTTCTTTCGGTAAAGTCAATTAGAAATAAAAATAAATTTCATATTAATTGAAGAAAATATATTAAATATTATTTAATGTATTTTCTTTCTACGTGACTTTACTGAAAGAACCAAAGAGATGATGATCATGACGATAATGATGATCCCGATGATGACGACGACGATGATGATGACGACGCCGCCGCCGAGTCAGCCAAACTACAAACCACCGCATGTTCCTCACTTGGACTGCGACGCGGTTTCGTTCACTCGATCGCGTTACATTTCTTCAATTTCGCGTCGCACGTTAAGACAACAAGAAAAAAAAAACGTGTTCCTTCACACAGGGACCCTTCTACTTACGAACATTCGACTTTCAGAGATGCGAACAAACCTGGTCCGTTATGTCCAGTTGGCCATGCGGACCGAGGGTCGTAAGTTCAACTGCCGTGCAATAGATGCCGATGGTGGAATCTACATCTGCAAAACGTGAAGAACCAGTGGCATCTACATCTGCAGAACATGAAGAACCAGTGGCATCTACATCTGCAAAACATGAAGAACCAGTGGCATCTACATCTGCAGAACGTGAAGAAGCAGTGGCATCTACATCTGCAGAACATGAAGAACCAGTGGCATCTACATCTGCAAAACATGAAGAACCAGTGGCATCTACATCTGCAGAACGTGAAGAAGCAGTGGCATCTACATCTGCAGAACATGAAGAACCAGTGGCATCTACATCTGCAGAACGTGAAGAAGCAGTGGCATCTACATCTGCAGAACATGAAGAACCAGTGGCATCTATATCTGCAGAACGTGAAGAACCAGTGGCATCTACATCTGCAAACATGAAGAACCAGTGGCATCTATATCTGCAGAACGTGAAGAACCAGTGGCATCTACATCTGTAGAACGTGAAGAACCAGTTGCATCTACATCTGCAGAACATGAAGACGCAGTGGCATCTACATCTGCAGAACGTGAAGAACCAGTGGCATATACATATACAGAACATGAAGAAGCAGTGGCATCTACATCTGCAAAACATGAAGAACCAGTGGCATCTACCTCTGCAGAACGTGAAGAAGCAGTGGCATCTACATCTGCAGAACATGAAGAACCAGTGGCATCTATATCTGCACAACGTGAAGAACCAGTGGCATCTACATCTGCAAACATGAAGAACCAGTGGCATCTATATCTGCAGAACGTGAAGAACCAGTGTCATCTACATCTGCAAAACATGAAGAACATAGTGGCTTCTACATCTGCAGAACATGAAGAAGCAGTGGCATCTACATCTGCAGAACGTGAAGAAGCAGTGGCATCTACATCTGCAGAACATGAAGAAGCAGTGACATACACATATACAGAACATGAAGAAGCAGTGGCATCTACATCTGCAGGAGATTATATGTTTAAAGCCCTTCCCCGTGTTTAGTGTACATACGGTTACAATGCGTTTGGAATCGACAGGAGTAAATGTGGACTTACGAACAAAATCGACTTACAAAAACAGAAATCTGGAACCTAACTCGTTCGTAAGTAGAGGAGTCTCTGTATAGTGTAGTGTGTCTAGTAGTGTAGTGTTTATAGTAGCGTTGCAGTATATGATGCAGTGTAAGAGTGTATCATGTAGAGTAGTGCTTTAGATGCCATACAACACGTTAGGAATGGACGGGAGTGAAGTTGCACTTACGAACTGATCTCCGGAAGCCAACTCGTTCGTAAGTAAGAACAGCCCCTGGCAGACATTCTACGCATTGTGTATCATCCAAAAGTCCGCGCCATTAAAAAAAAAACCGCCAGGGCGACGTGCACCCGGAGGGACGGAATCATTACGCCTCTGACCTGTGCCTTGCTGGCTGCAGGGCCGGTCGGGTTCGAGGCGACCGTATCCCTCCTTGCAGCGGCAAACAGTGGCGGTCTCTGTCGTGCATTCGCTCACAACGTCTTCGTCTACACGGCGGTGAGGTGGGGGGGGAGGGGAGAGACCACATGGACAGCCATCCCCAACCTTTCCCGTGTGCTGTTGGGGCAAGTGGCTGTTTCTAGCGAGTGGCTGTTCATAACGAGTGGCTGTTCTGGGCAAGTGTCTGTTTATGGCGAGTGGCTGTTCTGGGCAAGTGGCAGTTCATAGAGAGTGGCTGTTCATAGCGAGTGGCTGTTCTGGGCAAGTGGCAGTTCATAGAGAGTGGCTGTTCATAGTGATTGGCTGTTCTGGGCAAGTGGCAGTTCATAGAGAGTGGCTGTTCATAGTGATTGGCTGTTCTGGGCAAGTGGCAGTTCATAGCGAGTGGCAGTCATAGCAAGTGGCTGTTCATAGCGAGTGGCTGTTCATAGCGAGTGGCTGATCATAGCGAGTGGCTGTTCTGGGCAAGTGGCTGTTCTGGGCAAGTGGCTGTTCATAGCGAGTGGCTGTTCATAGCGAGTGGCTGTTCATAGCGAGTGGCTGTTCTGGGCAAGTGGCTGTTCATAGCGAGCGGCTGTTCATAAGGAGTGGCTGTTCGTAGCGAGTGGCTGTTCATAGCGAGTGGCTGTTCATAGCGAGTGGCTGTTCTGGGCAAGTGGCTGTTCATAGCGAGTGGCTGTTAGTAGCGAGTGGTTGTTCATAGCGAGTGGCTGTTCATAGCGAGTGGCTGTTCTGGGCAAGTGGCAGTTCATAGAGAGTGGCTGTTCTGGGCAAGTGGCTGTTCTGGGCAAGTGGCTGTTCTGGGCAAGTGGCTGTTCATAGCGAGTGGCAGTCATAGCAAGTGGCTGTTCATAGCGAGTGGCTGTTCATAGCGAGTGGCTGATCATAGCGAGTGGCTGTTCTGGGCAAGTGGCTGTTCTGGGCAAGTGGCTGTTCATAGCGAGTGGCTGTCATAGCAAGTGGCTGTTCTGGGCAAGTGGCTGTTCATAGCGAGTGGCTGTTCATAGCGAGTGGCTGTTCTGGGCAAGTGGCTGTTCATAGCGAGTGGCTGTTCTGGGCAAGTGGCAGTTCATAGCGAGTGGCAGTTCATAGCGAGTGACTGTTCATAGCGAGTGGCTGTTCTGGGTAAGTGGCTGTTCATAGCGAGTGGCTGTTCATAGCGAGTGGCTGTTCTGGGCAAGTGGCTGTTCATAGCGAGCGGCTGTTCATAAGGAGTGGCTGTTCGTAGCGAGTTGCTGTTCATAGCGAGTGGCAGTCATAGCGAGTGGCTGTTCTGGGCAAGTGGCTGTTCATAGCGAGTGGCTGTTCATTGCGATTGGCTGTTCTGGGCAAGTGGCTGTTCTGGGCAAGTGGCTGTTCATAGCGAGTGGCTGTCATAGCAAGTGGCTGTTCTGGGCAAGTGGCTGTTCATAGCGAGTGGCTGTTCATAACGAGTGGCTGTTCATAGCGAGTGGCAGTTTATAGCGAGTGGCTGTTCTGGGCAAGTGGCTGTTCATAGCGAGTGGCTGTTAGTAGCGAGTGACTGTACATAGCGAGTGGCTGTTCATAGCGAGTGGCTGTTAGTAGCGAGTGGCTGTTCATAGCGAGTGGCCACGCCTATGACGGCTGTCACCAGTTTGTGTTGGAGAGTCAAATCTATTTGTAAATGTTGTGGTGGGGTTCACTTTACAAAACACATCAACCGGTTTCGTGCTGCACCAGCAACGAATTGGCACCACGTTTTGTTTACGTGACACAAAACTCCTTACTGATTTACCTTTTCGGGTGGTGGCGGGTTTAATGACACATTATATTCACGTGATCTAATCCAAAATACCTTCAATGACGGATACCATTGGCCACCAAGGCCTCCTACTGAGTGTTAAACTCAAAAACATTATCTGTGCAAGAATGGCCTTCTCTTATTTTAGTTCTATTTTTTTCCCAATGGCCCTTCTCCCGTCTTCTTGAACTCACTCGTCGTTAACTATTTTCTGCCCTTTTCTCACTCATGAAGCGCCCTGACAACCATTGTTCGAGGGCGCTTCATGAGTTTAAATCATTATTATTATTACTACTACCAGCGGCATTCGAGTGCAAAGGGCATTTTGTGGGGAGGCCGTGGTGTTGTAGGGGTTAGCGCTACATTGCGAACCCGGCAGAGACCCTAGTTCCATTCCCGCTCACGGCCACCAACCCCACTGACGATTACCTGAATCCGTCCTCGGGCCTCCCCTAGGTCGACTCAGCCTTAAAATTAGTTACACGGTGTGGTGTGGAGTAAACGTCGCCACTGGGGAGACAAAGGCGGCCGGGCGTCGTGATGGCCACCCACCCCCTCGTGTGCCACAGTGCCGGTAGCCTTCATAGACGCTTCTACTCGCTACTAACAGCACTTGCCCAAACAGCCCTGTTAGAGGCTCCCCGGGTGACCTTTATCCGTGTTTTTTGTAACACCACTTGCCCCAACAGTCTGTAAAGGCTATATGGGGAATCTTTGTCTATGTGAGTGCTGTAGGTGTGTCTGTGTGTGTGTGTCTGTGTGTGTGTCTGTGGCTGTGTGTCTGTGGCTATGTGTCTGTGTGTATGTGTGTCTGTGTGTGTATCTGTGTGTGTCTTTGTGTGTGTAGGTGTGTCTGTGTGTGTGAGTGCTGTAGATGTGTGTGTCTGTGTGTGTCTTTGTGTGTGTATGTCTGTCTGTGTGTGTGTGAGTGCTGTAGGTGTGTGTGTGTATCTGTGTGTCTGTGTGTGTCTTTGTGTGTGTATGTCTGTCTGTCTGTGTGTGAGTGCTGTAGGTGTGTGTGTCTGTGTGTCTGTGTGGGGAGTGGTAGTGTAGTGGTTCGCGCACCGCGCTATGAACCCGGCGAACCGGCTTCGATTCCCGCTCACGGCAAACACCGGTGACGAATATCTGAACCGGTCCTGGGCCTCCCCTAGGTCGACTCAGCCTCAAATGAGTACCTGGTGTAGCGGTGTGTAGTAAACATCGCCAGCACTGGGGAGACAAAGGCGGCCGGGCGTGGTGCTTGACCACCCACCCCCTCGTGTGCCGTGCCGGCATTCATAGGCGCTGCTACTCGCTAACAGCACTTGCCCCAACAGTCTGTTAGAGGCTACACGTGGGGTGGGGAGGGGAGGTTGTGGTGGAATTTTGTTACCTGGCAAGCAAAGCGCACAGCAGACGCCGGCCGCCGACTTGTACCGGCCCTGAGCTTGGCACTCCTCCTGTGCGCTCCACACGATGAAGGTTCAACGAGTTAACGACACAACAGTGTGGGGTGGGGGGGGTGTTGGGAGCAGTGGCCCAACGGTTAGCGCTACACTTCAACACGCAGGCTTTCGCGACCAATATTATTCATAATAAAGGTTTTTGGGGTTAGATCGCGTTATTTATAAATGCGTCGCAACCCTCCATCACCCGAAACGGCCAATCAGTAAAGAGTGTCACGATGACAAAAGACAAAATAGTTCACTACTTTAGCCCACCGGTGTATTGAAGAGTGAATCCACAACATTTACAATTTTTGAGTACGACGTTTCGCTGAGTGGGCGTGGGGGACTGCTGCCTAATGAGCCATGCGGTGTGTTTCTTGCCTGATTTGAAGGCGAGGGTTGACCGCAGCTCACATCGGCCATCCGCGATAGGATCTGGGCGGCGACAAACGTGTGTGGTGGGGGGAGAAAGGCAAAGCATCGTTAACGTGCCACGCAAGTTACGAACGTGTTGGCGGTGGCAATCGCATCGTCTTATCTACGATTTTATGTAAAGCGCTTTAACCAAAGCGCCTTACGGAAACTATGATGATGGTGGTCATGAGATACTGTACACTACACTACTATACACTACACTACTATACACTACACTACTATACACTACTCTATACACTACACTACTATACACTACACTACTATACACTACACTATACACTCCACTACTATACACTCCACTATACACTCCACTACAAAAACACTACACTACTATACACTACACTATAAACTACACTACTATACACTCCACTACTATACACTACACTACTATACACTACACTATACACTACACTACTTTTGCCCACTGACAAAGAAATCATCGGTCTATAATTTTAATGGTAGGTTTATTTGAACAGTGAGGGACATAATAACAATAAAAAAAAATCCAGAAACACGCATGTCAAAAATGTTATAAATTGATTTGCATTTTAATGAGTGTAGTGTATAGTAGTGTAGTGTATAGTAGTGTATTGTATAGTAATGTAGTGTATAGCAGTGTGGTGTATAGTAGTGTCGTAGTATATGGTGTAGTGTATAGTGTAGTGTATAGCAGTGTGGTGTATAGTCGTGCAGTAGTATATAGTGTAGTGTATAGTGTTGTTTATAGTAGTGTAGTGTATAGTGTATAGAATAGTAATGTAGTGTATAGTAGTGTGGTGTAAATTCGTGTAGTGTATATAGTGTATTATGCTAGAACAGCACTAAACCAGTTGTGTGTGTGGGAGAGTAAACCCACCACTGCAACATTTTTACAATTCAAGCACCGTGACGTTTCACCGGCAATTCCATCAACAACCCGGCATCATCGGGGCGAGGAAACGAGCGTTTCGTGTGCCCATTCCTTCCCTTCCCCAACACTCAAATCCCATCCCTTTCCCCTATTGGCCAATAACAAATGCTTGTTCGTTAATTTCTCAGTTCGCTTGTCCTGGCGAGGGTCGTGGCGGTAGCAGCGTGTTGAGGAGTGGCGGTCCAGACCTCCTTTGCCCTGGCGACAGGCCCCAGTACTACCAGAACTATACACCCCACTGCTATACACTACACTACTATACACTACACTACTATACACTACACTACTATACACTACACTATACACTACACTATACACTACTATACACTACACTATACACTACACTATACACTACACTACTATACATTACACTATACACTACACTATACACGACACTACTATACACTACACTATACACCACACTACTATACACTACACTATACACTACACTATACACTACACTACTATACATTACACTATACACTACACTATACACTACACTACTATACACTACACTATACACTACACTATACACTACTACACTATACACCACACTATACACTACACTACTACACACTACACTATACACTACACTATACACTACACTACTATACACTACACTATACACTACACTATACACTACTACACTATACACCACACTATACACTACACTACTACACACTACACTATACACTACACTACTATACACTACACTATACATTACACTATACACTACACTATACTACTACACACTACACTACTAC